GATAGAATTTTATATGTCGATTGTTTGAGACATTTTTGCATGTGGGTTAGGTTGAAAAGCTTGGCAAAGATTCACTGGTGAACAGTGCCAAGACCAGCATGTCCTCAAAGTGTATAGGTGGTGACAGTGACTTCTTCGCAAATCTGGTAAGTTAGTGGATGAGTGATTAATGTGCGAATTATTTGCATACGACATAAAGTTTGAATCAGATGCATAGCTTCTAGTGCTGTAATTTTTTTAATCATTTTTCTTTTTTGGGTGTTCTCTGTGCATTTGATCAAGCATTCGACATTGTTTTGTTAGCTAATAATGAATTTTAGTTGCCGTAACTTTCTTGTATCTCATTTTCTGTAACGTGAAGTGTGAACTTGTACTCATGTGACTTCGTTGCTTTTCTTCTGTGGTCTACGCTATCAGGGTTCATGGTTTTAACATTTTGCGATGTTATTTGGTGTTTTCAAGAGGCTGTTTCTCTCTAGTGAATTACTTTATTTCTTATTGGTATTTACATAGCATTACAAATTTGCGTCTCAAAAAAACTCTATTATTCTGTAGGTTGTTGAAGCTGTACAAGCAGTAAAAATGACAAATGCAAGAGGCGAAGTTCGGTATCCAATCAAGGTTGGCTGTGCATAATTTTGAACTTATCGTTCTTGGTTATTTTCTAAAGATGGTCTCAGTTCGCTGTTTCTTCTAGCATGAATTTAGGATGATGCTTAATAAACTTCTATTGCATTTTTTTGGTTTGAAAAGAAAATTGGGCTAGTCTTTGCAGCCATACTATCTCAAGAACCTTGAAGATATCATTTATTAAAAATAAAAATTGACGTTTAGAAGAAACTTAAATCCTGCTCGAACCCTGAAATATTAAATATAATTTTCCTTGATCTTGTCAATTTTTCAAATAGAAGAGGTGAGTCATTATTTCATTGATGTTCAGGGAATCAATATTCTTAAAGCCCATGGACAAAGTGCCAGAGATAGCTATCTACTCAAAGGATATGCTCTGGATACAGGGCGCGCTGCACAGGGAATGCCGTGAGCTGTTGATGTTATTCGAATGTTTTGGCCTTGGAATATGCAGTTGTAGCTTGTCTAGCTGTTGCGAACATTGTGAAATCTTCGCTTGGCCCTGTTGGCCTCGACAAGGTATTTTTGCTTTAATTTATCTCCATATATTGCCATGGAGATGGAGACGGTTGCTTGATAGTAATACTAAAAACAAATTAAGTAGTGCCTAACTTAGCGGTGTTTTCATTTTCTCTTGTTTTGTATGTGCGCGTTGCTCGCAATCCGTCAACAAGACATTTTCTTATTCATTTTGCACTTATGTTAAAGATGAAAGTAGTGATTGGTAGGTTTTACTTTTAATTATAGCATGTACTCTAATAACTCGAATGCTGTGAGTATCTTTAAGTGCCTGGTATGTTAATATCTCTGTTTAGACTTAAAATCTGATGCTCTTTTTCATTCCTGGTTGGTGCTTGCTAGATGCTCGTCGATGATATTGGTGACGTGAACAATTACTAATGATGGTGCGACGATATTGAAAATGCTGAAGGTTGAACATCCTGCTGCCAAGGTAAACTTTGTGTTTTTGTGCTTTTACAATTTAGCATTGCAAGAAATTTATGTGTAGTTCTTAAATGATTACAGGTTCTTGTTGAGCTGGCAGAATTACAAGACCGAGAAGTGGGAGATGGCACGACTCTGTGGTCATCATAGCTGCTGAATTGCTGAAGGTATTATGGCAAGTTTTGCGCATGAGTAGAATATTTTACCTAAATTGGTAAACCTAAAACTTCTATGCTAATTTGGCATTTATTTTTACAGAGAGCTAATGATTTAGTGAGAAACAAGATTCATCAAACATCGATAATCAGTGGTTACAGGGTTCGCACTCAACTGTGTTTTTTTTTTTTTTTTATTCCTCCTGTTTTTCTTCCCTCCTCAAAAGTTTCATATGTTTAGATTCTCCTTTTTTGGTTCAGTTATTTTACATGATTCTCTAGTCTCATTGTTAACATTTGTTGTCAGCTTGCTATGAGGGAAGCATGCAAATATGTTGATGAGAAATTGGCTGTAAAGGTTACTCTTCTCCTAATTGTTCCTTCAGAAACACATGTTTCTGTTTGTCATATTTGGGTCTGCAGAACACTAACAGACGTGGACAGAACGTTTCATGTTTGTATGTTGATTGACTTGGATCGACTTGAACTAGTATCTAGTTGTAAACCAGAAATGTTTCCTTAAAGTTGATAGAATTTTATATGTCGATTGTTTGAGATATTTTTGCATCTGGGTTAGGTTGAAAAGCTTGGCAAAGATTCACTAGTGAACAGTGCCAAGACCAGCATGTCCTCAAAGTTGATAGGTGGTGACAGTGACTTCTTCGCAAATCTGGTAAGTTAGTGGATGAGTGATTAATGTGCGAATTATTTGCAAACGACATAAAGTTTGAATCAGATGCATAGCTTCTAGTGCTGTAATTTTTTTTATTATTTTTATTTTTTGGGTGTTCTCTGTGCATTTGATCAAACATTCGACATTGTTTTGTTAGCTAATAATGAATTTTAGTTGCCGTAACTTTCTTGTATCTCATTTTCTGTAACGTGAAGTGTGAACTTGTACTCATGTGACTTCGTTGCTTTTCTTCTGTGGTCTACGCTATTAGGGTTCATGGTTTTAACATCTTGCGATGTTATTTGGTGTTTTCAGGAGGCTGTTTCTCTCTAGTGAATTACTTTATTTCTTATTGGTATTTACATAGCATTACAAATTTGCGTCTCAAAAAAACTCTCTTATTTTGTAGGTTGTTGAAGCTGTACAAGCAGTAAAAATGACAAATGCAAGAGGCGAAGTTCGGTATCCAATCAAGGTTGGCTGTGCATAATTTTGAACTTATTGTTCTTGGTTATTTTCTAAAGATGGTCTCAGTTCGCTGTTTCTTCTAGCATGAATTTGGGATGATGCTTAATAAACTTCTATTGCATTTTTTTGGTTTGAAAAGAAAATTGGGCTATTCTTTGCAGCCATACTATCTCAAGAACCTTGAAGATATCATTCAGTAAAAATAAAAACTGACGTTTAGAAGAAACTTAAATCCTTCTCGAACCCTGAAATATTAACAATAATTTTCCTTGATCTTGTCAATTTTTCAAATAGAAGAGGTGAGTCATTATTTCATTGATGTTCAGGGAATCAATATTCTTAAAGCCCATGGACAAAGTGCCAGAGATAGCTATCTACTCAAAGGATATGCTCTGGATACAGGGCGCGCTGCACAGGGAATGTCGTGAGCTGTTGATGTTATTCGAATGTTTTGGCCTTGGAATATGCAGTTGTAGCTTGTCTAGCTGTTGCGAACATTGTGAAGTCTTCGCTTGGCCCTGTTGGCCTCGACAAGGTATTTTTGCTTTAATTTATCTCCATATATTGCCATGGAGATGGAGACGGTTGCTTGATAGTAATACTGAAAACAAATTAAGTAGTGCCTAACTTAGCGGTGTTTTCGTTTTCTCTTGTTTTGTATGTGTGCGTTGCTCGCAATCCGTCAGCAAGACATTTTCTTATTCATTTTGCACTTATGTTAAAGATGAAAGTAGTGATTGGTAGGTTTTACTTTTAATTATAGCATGTACTCCAATAACTCGAGTGCTGTGAGTATCTTTAAGTGCCTGGTATGTTAATATCTCAGTTTAGACTTAAAATCTGATGCTCTTTTTCATTCATGGTCGGTACTTGCTAGATGCTCGTCGATGATATTGGTGACGTGACAATTACTAATGATGGTGCAACGATATTGAAAATTCTAGAGGTTGAACATCCTGCTGCCAAGGTAAACTTTGTGTTTTTGTGCTTTTACAATTTAGCATTGCAAGAAATTTATGTGTAGTTCTTAAATGATTACAGGTTCTTGTTGAGCTGGCAGAATTACAAGACCGAGAAGTGGGTGATGGCACAACATCTGTGGTCATCATTAGCTGCAGAATTGCTGAAGGTATTATGGCCAGTTTTGCAGTTGCGGGAGTAGAATATTTTACCTAAATTGGTAACCTGAAATGTTATATGCTAATTTGGTATTTATTTCTCTAGAGAGCTAATGATTTAGTGAGAAACAAGATTCATCCAACATCGATAATCAGTGGTTACAGGGTTCGCACTCAACTGCTGGAAAAGAACTTGAAAGTTTAATCAAAATGAAAATTTATGGGGTATATTTTTTCACATCTACGAACTTATATTTCTCTCACCTAATAATTAATTTTTCCCTCCAATGTCCATAAATCTTTTTATCACCTAATGATCGTTTCTCTCTCCAAAAATCAGGCACACAATCAATTTTTCCCGAATGACTCGCAAAGAAAACGGAAATTGAAAAAAGAAATTAACAAATATGATGCCTAGAATCAAGGAATTCTCGAATTCATAAATTCAAATGGAATTGTCCGTTCTTCCACATCTTGAATTCCAAAAAAAATCGTTAATCGTACTTAAAAAAATAAAGCTTCGGTTGAGCTAGAAAATAACAAATTTTTCTTCACGAAATCTCACATGTTTAGATATATTGTATATATACATTAGATAAACATGATCTGACAGTTCTTTAAATATTAACTGTATAGTTATACAAAAGATAAACAACATATAAACAACACATAAACATGATCTGACAATTCTCTAAATATTAACTGTATAATTATACAAAAGATAAACAACACAGAAACGAAGTAAAACATAATACACAGTTCTAAATGACTGCAAAATCCAAAATATGTAGTTATACATAAGATAAACAACATATGTAACTTTGCGCACTCCCAAAAACAACACAATACAAATTATGTATAACTAACGTATAATTTGTGTATGTGTTTACTACACTCCTTCGTGTTTTATATACCGACATATAAACTTTAAATAAATAATATCCTGATCAAAACTCTGGTGCGTGTTCAAGCCTGCAATTTTGGTGCGTATTGAAAGAAAAACTCCGGTCGTGCACCCGTGAGGCCAGGTAACCTCCATTATTATTCAATCCCTTCTACGTATACTCATTCATCATCTTCTCTGTTTTTTTTCACGTCTCCATTTCCAGAGCAAGAAACCGTCACCTTCCTCCAATCCCACCATATTATGAGCATTAGGTACAGTAGGAATAAGCAAATGAAGGTTGACGTGAAGACGGTCGGCACCACGATCTTGGCAACCTCTGACTCGATAAGTACTTCCTCGTGTGCCCACTCGATTATCCACAGTGAATAAGCAACGACACGTACAAACCGTCATTGCCCTGAAACTAGGAGAAGATTTTTCGTAGAAATTATGGAGAAGAGATTTAAATTTTTTAGGATGAAACTTGGAGAAGGCTTTTGGTAGGAGGTTATGGAAAAGATTTCCACGATCCGAGATCTTTGCTCAGTAAATCAATTCAATTAACTGTAATTTATTGTTTAAATTTAACTTCATTATCCCTAATTTTAATTATTAGTGGTATTATTAAAAAATAAAATTTGTCATTCGTATTTTTTTTTTAAAAAAAAAAGTGTAACTCTAACAGTAAAGTGGGTAATTTTCTCATAGTATAAAGCCCACTTAGGCCCCGATTTAGTTGGCTAATTGGGCCCAACCTGCAAAACGATGTCGTACGGTTTCAAAAACTTTTGCTCAAACCCTATGAAATGTTCTTCAATTAAGTGACTGCAACTGAGTTATAGAGATAAAGTACGACACTCACCACGCGAAGCCGATCAGATCTAGGGTTTTGTCCAGCTTTTCAGCTTTCCTTTCGACTATTAGATTGTAATATCGATTATGGCAATTTCGTCGCAGCCTGATATCTTCGGCGAACGTCAATCCGACCAAGATGTTCGAACTCAAAATTGTACCGTTTGTCATCGTCATATTTGTCTACTTATTTAATACTTATGCCGTGAGCTGTTGATGTTATTCGAATGTTTTGGCCTTGAAATATGCAGTTGTAGCTTGTCTAGCTGTTGCGAACATTGTGAAGTCTTCGCTTGGCCCTGTTGGCCTCGAAAAGGTTTTGCTTTAATTTATCTGCATATATTGCCATGGAGATGGAGACGGTTGCTTGATAGTAATATTGAAAACAAATTAAGTAGTGCCTAACTTAGTGGTGTTTTCGTTTTCCCTTATTTTGTATGTGCGCGTTGCTCGCAATCCGTCAGCAAGACATTTTCTTATTCATTTTGCACTTATGTTAAAGATGAAAGTAGTGATTGGTAGGTTTTACTTTTAATTATAGCATGTACTCCAATAACTCGAGTGTTGTGAGTATCTTTAAGTGCTTGGTATGTTAATATCTCAGTTTAGACTTAAAATCTGATGCTCTTTTTCATTCTTGGTCGGTACTTGCGAGATGCTCGTCGATGATATTGGTGACGTGACAATTACTAATGATGGTGCGACGATGTTGAAAATGCTGGAGGTTGAACATCCCTCTGCCAAGGTAAACTTTGTGTTTTTGTGCTTTTACAATTTAACATCGCAAGAAATTTATGTGTAGTTCTTAAATAATACAGGTTCTTGTTGAGCTGGCAGAATTACAAGACCGAGAAGTGGGAGATGGCACAACATTTGTGGTCATCATAGCTGCAGAATTGTTGAAGGTATTATGGCCAGTTTTGCGGTTGCGGGAGTAGAATATTTTACCTAAATTGGTAACCTGAAATGTTCTATGCTAATTTGGGATTTATTTCTATAGAGGGCTAATGATTTAGTGAGAAACAAGATTCATCCAACATCGATAATCAGTGGTTACAGGGTTCGCACTCAACTGCTGGAAAAGAACTTGAAAACAGCTAATAAATCTCAATTTAGCTTTTTAATTGCTGAGGTTAGTATCATAACTGGTCATAGGAGTTAAAGATGGAAGTAGTCACCATTTTTTAACTGGATTGGAAATGTGGTGGACCGCTGAATTCATTCTTTCCAGCAATAAGGAGCACGCTCGACAATTAAATAGTCCTGCCTAATATCTTTCACCACCCGAATTTCATCATCAATATATACCAACTCAAACCTACATAGAAGATTATGAGTTAGTTTTAGTTGCATAAAAGAGAACAAGAAAAACAATGCCATCATGGCCACAATAACACGTGAAATTAATTTGAAATGAGAATTCTCTAGAGGGTCTTGTATCTTGTGGAATTGTTAAATACATCAAGCCAATGGTGTGCACAAAATATGAATGAAAATAGTTTTATTGCTCTTCTTCAGGATATCATCATTTGATTTTGATATATACAGATATTATCAAGTATCAAATGAATTTAATAGCATATTCGAAGAAATTCTGACTCGCGGTCAGAATGAGTTCTGAGTGGTGAATATAATTCTCTCAATGTAGTGAGAGAGTAAGAGAATAAATGTCACTTACCAACCCTGACCAAATGGTGGCAGAGGAAACTCCCATCCCTTACCGCGGAGAACAACACTTGTAAATCTACAAAAGTAATATTCATAACACAAATTAAGGCAGTCCTTGATCCTTTAATCCTCAAAAATAGCCGATTAATATACATTCAGCAATTTTCCCCAATTTATCCCATTTGTGCACCCAACACAATTTCAGAGCTCATCACTTACAAAAATTCTCTTCATCCAAGATATAATTGCAGTGGTTTTTAGAGTTCTAGACTGCTTTAGAAACTGCAAATAGTAAGTCTGCACTTTGCAACACCAAATAAACTATGGAGCAATATAAAAATGGAAACAACAACATGACCATTTCAATTAGTTTATGTGTAGCCATTTAACACTTATACCCATCAAACGAACAGTCAAACAATTCAAAAATCAAGGATCTCGTAGTCATTATCGTAATCACAAGCTATGACATATACAAACATCAAATATTGTAATGCAAGTCACAATAATCAAAATCAAGTAATGCAATACTAAACATCTCTGTAATGTAGATAGATTATTTCATCTCAACTGACAGCTCAAAACAAACAAGCAAACAAACAAAGTATCCCCAAAAAAAATTACTTAAGATAAAGCACTTCCCGTAAATTGACTCTTTGAGCTGAAGCGGCCTAAATTCTGACCGAACAAAGAACACACCGTCCGGAGGGAAAGTGATAATGTTGTTGAGAGTCTTCTGTTCAACGTCGATAACCTACAAAACATCGCCAGCTGAGGTTCCAAAAACTGGCGCGTTCTTCACGATGAAGAGCTTCTCCTTCTCGGTGGTCCACAGCATCCGCCACGTGTCTGAAAGCGATTCTCCAGTGGTGACGCTCCCGCGACTGGTTGCAGCCAGTGAATCGACGGCCTCAATTATCTGGGAAAGCCTCTGCGTTTCGGACTGTGTTTTGAGGCCGCGGTCCTGGTCGGCGATCAGGCGGAGGAGGTGGCGCTTTGCGTCGACAGACGGAGACTGCGATTGGTCGCTGAGGGACAAACGCGTGACCCTAGCGAATCTCCTTAGAGGGAGAGAGAAATTGGAAATGGCGGGAAGGGAGAGAGAGTTGGTGGCCATTTTTTAGTGTTGGCGGAGCTTTTTTTTTAGTGTAGTTCTGGAGAGAGAGAAAACAAAAACTTCTACAATTACCCAAATCAATTCGATGAATGGATGGATGGGAGTCGGGGCGGGTTAAGTTACATCCAATATAATCGGACCTAATAGTATAAGGGAAATTTGCATATATAGATTCCTTGTAAGATATATTTACATATCTACGTAGTAAAGAAAGTTTAATCAAAATGAATATTTATGGGGTATTTTTTTTCACATCTACGAACTTATCTTCCTCTCACCTAAACATTATTTTTTTCTCTCCAATGTCCATAAATCGAGCACGCAATCAATTTTCCCAACTTTTTCTCACCTAATGATTGTTTCTCTCTCCAAAAATCGGGCACGCAATCAATTTTTCCCAAATGACTCGCAAAGAAAACGGAAATTGAAAAAAGAACTTAACAAATATGATGCCTAGAATCAAGGAATTCTCGAATTCATAAATTCAAATGGAATTGTCCGTTCTTCCACGTCTTGAATTCCAAAAAAATCGTTAATCGTACTTAAAAAAATAAAGCTCCGGTCGAGCTGGAAAATAACAAATTTTTCTTCACGAAATCTCATATGTTTAGATATATTGTATATATACATTAGATAAACATGATCTGACAGTTCTTTAAATATTAACTATATAGTTATACAAAAGATAAACAACATATAAACAACACATAAACATGATCTGACAGTTCTCTAAATATTAACTGTATAATTATACAAAAGATAAACAACACAGAAACGAAGTAAAACATAATACACAGTTCTAAATGATTGCAAAATCCAAAATATGTAGTTATACATAAGATAAACAACATATGTAACTTTACGCACTCCCAAAAACAACACAATACAGATTATGTATAATGTTGACGAGCGTTTTCGGTCAACGGTTAAAAATAAAAGATGTGGAAAGCAAGACTGAAAAGGGAGAGAATGGTTTGGTTTAATTACGATTTTATTGAACGATCACGAGGTCGGCCTCTCGTACGAGGTCGGCACTTGCGATATACTTACAATTCTTACAGCGAGTTTATTACAATTTCTAGGGAGAGAAAGTAGAGAGAAGGCAATTAGTTGGAATTCAACAACCCAAAATAAATGAGATGAGCTGCTATTAATAGTAGTCTTTAATGAGGCACTGTTCGGCTACTGTTCACTGGTCTTGTCGCACAGTAATTTGGCAGAGCAGTTCGGCGTCCGTCTGACGGACATTTAATGCGATTTGAGGTTTCTTCAATCATTGCCTGACGGGTATTAAATGCCAGCATGGGGTGCATTTAATGCTGTGTGGCGTTGCTGACTCAGGCTGGCTGGTAGGGAGCTAGGCCATGATTACCTGTCCCATCGTCCAATGATGACCTCCCAAGTGGGAATATTTTAATGTTTATTGAGGCCCGCGCGTCGCCCCTGGTCGGCCTCCTCGTGCTTTCAGGGCGGCACTTCGTTCGGAAATGCTCATGAAACTACGAATAGTCTCCTTCCTGTCCGGCACCCATTCAGGTCGGCAACTCCCCGGTCTGAGTCGGGCGCCGGGCTGAGAATCTGTTCCCAGGGCGGTTTCCCACCCCCTAATCCGCGGTCCAGCTCGACACTCCATCCTCAGACCGGGTCCTAAGCTCTAGTTTCGATTGGCAACGTCTCTCCGGTTCATTCCCGGCTAACTCGGATATAAACATACAGGCCCCCGAGCTTGGATGGGAGGTCCATCATCATCCTG